TTTCTATTATATTATATATATATTATATTATATTATGAAAAATAATTCCCAATAATATAAATTATACATCAAATGAAAGCTTATTCTATAAGCTTTCTTTGTTTTTAGAAACATTTTTCTGTATAATTTACAGAAAGTTCCCAAAAATCCCCCAGAACGACGTATACACAAAAAAGCAAAAAACCTTGTTACACTGCAAAAGAATCCGGTATTCAAGGGTTTGCACTACAAAAGAATCCGGTATCCAGAGGGTTAAAGATGAAAGTAAATACACACCTTTGCCAATGTTCCTTCAACACAGTAGCCAGCAATAATGACTCCATTTCTCTTTTCTGTGCACCAGCCTTCAAAGAGTTCTCTTGACAGACCACTCTGCATCATTCCGGGACTTGCCATGACTACTGAGGGGCCAATGTCCTCAAAGTGCTCCATACCACGAAGGTTGGAGATGTGCTTAAACACAAATGGGTTACTAATAGCAATCTAAAAAAAAAATATATATATATATATGAAATAGTCATATATATACATATATATAGCATTACTGATTTCAAATAGGTCCGAAATGTAGGTTTTATTGAATGTTTTCTCTCCTCTTTCTTTTGTTCTCCTGTCTTCTTTCCTTTGTAATCTGTTTGGGCTATGTCCCCTCCACTGTCATTTACTTTAAGAATATTATTCTAGGGAGTATCCAAGACAACTCTACTCTAAACAATTTTCCGAATCACAGGTGTATCTATCTCAAAAGATCGAAAAAGAATTAGGAAGTTGCATGGTTGTGGGGCCGTTTGTACTTGGCGCCAGGAGTCTGGGTGTTTCTCGTGTGAGAAAGAATAGGCAATTAGTCGGTTTATCCAGGTAAGTATTCACGAAGTAGACTTCTAAATGTTTTCCTTTTATAAATAGTTGGAATGTGTTTTATATCATTACTGAATAAAAGTGATTTTTAATAATAAAGTATTTAGAGTGTCAACTACTCATCTGCTTTCGATAGGAAGCTAGGCTATAGACATAAGATTGCTTCCAAAATCAAACTATTCAAAATAAATACTAATGATTCCTTAATGATTATAAGTTATTTTACTGTGATATATCAAGTATTTAATGCATCATGATAATAGTAATAATAACTTTAAAATGAAATGGTTCATTTATATTTATTTTTATATTCTTGAATGTATTATGTATTTTTAAAATGTATGTGCTGCCAGGCTTCTGGGCAATCCAGCCAGTCAGGTATACTTCTTTTGTTTTTACTAGTGAAATATATATGATATGATATGATAATATAAGTAACTATTAATGTGTTTACACTATTTCTGTCCATTGTGCGTTGTTGGTCTGTGGAAGGCAAATATATATGTATATATAGACAAACTATACCACCAGGGAAACATAGCACAGTTGACAGACCAAACAAATGGTAATCAATTTTTTTTTTAAAATTAATACCATCTTTATAATCATTGAATGTAGTTATATGAAAAGCACCCTCAAGTAAAACAATAACAGTTACCTGTCTCCTGATTTTGTCGTTCATGGCGTTGATATATGTTTGATAGACTGACATACATTTCTTAGCAAGAGAAGATGCGTAGTAGATTGGAATGTCATGAAGTTCAGGATGATTGCTCCAATATTCATCTGATATTAAACAAGATATTTAAAAATTAAAAAGAATGGTTTTTTAATTCATGAAATATCTATCATTTATTAATGCGTGAATAAAAAATGTGTATGTGTCATATAAATTTTATAGAGAAAATAAAAATAACCTAGAATTAAAAGAAGTTCTTGAGCACGTCCTAATGCAAAGACTGGGATTAAACATCGCCCTCCTCTGTTAACAATGTCATGTACTGTACTGGTGAATCTTGCTTCCCTTTCTTCACGTTTTTCATGGATGTGGGTGCCATATGTGGATTCCTGAAAAACAAAAAGGCAGGATGAATGAAGATTATCCAATAAATTTCAAGGAACACAATCTGTAAATGTAACGATGAGCCTCACACACTGTTATAATGTAACATTCTTCAGTTTAATTTTCTGTAATATTCAGGGTTGAGCATTAATTTTAAATCTACAAATGATCTGGTAGTGTCAAACTAACAGTGTGTTTTCGTAGTATTTTACTTACTGTAATTAGGACATCAGGTCTGACTGGGGGTATCTCCGCAGCCATCAAATGCCTATCTTCTTGCCGTGAGAAATCTCCTGTGTATAAGATCTAAAACAGAGGTGAACATGGTGTCAGTCATAACAACAGGAACAAAAGGACAAGAGTCGAATAGCCGAGTGGTTAAGCCTACAGCCATAATATCGGCGCTGGTTTGAGCAGGATGCTCGCCTATGGTGGAATAAGTTTTCTTAGAAAAGAACAATAAACCGAAGGCCCAGTATACACAATTGGCTCACATGCACTCTAAAGAACACAATACATCTTTTCAGACGAGTAAGGGGTTACCCAGGTGTACTGATCCATACAGTCCCTGCTGCCCTGCGGTTATGGATCCTAAGATCCCTTGCAGGATGTACCTTCATAAACAAAATAGATTGGTTTTGCTACCATGTTGTACACAGTTAAGTCAAGAATAGCACTGTGGCTACAGAACTGAATAAAGTTATATTACAAGAACAAGGGATATTGCTATATTACCTTCACACCGGCTATTTCTATCATAAACATACATGCTCCTAAAACATGTCCAGCATTATAGCAGGAGAATTTGATACCGTTGACGTCAGTTTCTTGGTGAAAGTTGACAGTCTCAATTCGGTCCATGCTATTTTGAAGGTCAGCATCTGAATATAACATCTTGTCTGCTGAGATATTACTAAAATATAAATTAAATATTAAAAACAAAGGAAAGATAATTTAACGATCGAAACACAACAGAAATTAACTATTTGGCAATTTTGTTTACATAAATCGAACTTACTATACCTGTGATGAACTAACTTGAATATTCAACTTTACAAATATTAAGGTTAAAGATTAAGGTGAGTCGAATAATCAAGCGGTTAAGGCAGGGGTGTTGCAACCTACAGCCATAATATCGGCACTGGTTTCAGCGGCACGCTCACCTGGTTCAGGTGGTGGAACAAGTCTTTTTGGATAAGGACTATAAAATGTAGGCCCAGTAGCACACCGATTTCAAGACTTCTAGAGAGACGAGTAGGGGGTTACCCAGCTATACAGGTCCATACAGCCCATGTTACTCTGAGGTTATGGATCATCAGGTCATTTGCACGATGTACCTACGAAATGCAAACGTTAACAATTTCCATTTTAACTTCAAATATTATAATAATATATAATTGGAAATTTTGGCTGGGCAGTGCAGCGACAGTACCAACATGTAACAAATTCATTGTCCCTTATCCCACCTAACTCTCATGCTAGCACTATACAAGAAGCTGAACTATGAGAAAATTTTCTCATACCTAACTTTGACATAATCTGAGAGAAGCCATCTGTAGATTGCCTTCGTTGCGTGTGTCATGAAAACACGTCCACGAAAGTTTGTCCGCTTCAGAAAGTATGGCAGTGCACCGGAATGGTCAAGATGAAAACTGGAAAAAAAATTAAGAGCAATTACATTCACTATATTATTAGTAACAATTGCATAATCAGACATACAATCAAATAAGGTGTGTGTATAATCAATTTAGTTGTTACTGTATTGGACTGTATATTTTAATTTATGTAATCATATTTCAATTTATATAATCTTTTTCAGAAACATGTTAACTTATGAGTTAATTAGTGTTGACCTTCTTGTAGTGTTACTTTTGTTTGTGATCTACTATTTTATTTGAGAAACTTGGTGTTAGCTTTCCCAATTGATGGCAAATTAATTAATATTTCACAGTCTGTATTTTAGTATCATGTTTAAACTTTTGCATTGTGTTGCATTTTTAAGTGTTTAATTATTTCACATGTTATGATAATATACATTTTAAAAATATTATGTATCACAATATAACACATTAGAACCTATAACAAAACAAACACAACACCATATTGCAACTCATAATAATCATGAAGTGTTTACATATTAAATACTACTTTAAATGAAGCTGGTTTGTTTCAAACAAATATTAACTATTTAACCTACTGGCTAACAAGTAAGAGATCTATTGAGTCAGGTTCAACCATGTCAAAAAACGGAAGCGAGTCCAAACCATCTTTTCCTGGATGTATCCCACAATCAAGCTGTGAATAGAATAAGAAAATTAATACAGATATAATAAATTAATTTTCTTATCCTAATATTATTATCCACAATTGCATCAAACTGTACTATGAGTGAAGCTGTATCTTTGTGGTTACAATTGAGGGGGAGGGGGGTTGCCTTACAATCCCAGTGTCATGGTTTCAAATCCTGAGATAGCACAGAATCTTTTGTGACTACTAAAACACAACTCATTGAACAACTTTCTTCTCCCACAAGTGTGACACCATGTCCAATCAGCTTCCAAACGTTGGACGTTTGTCTGTCAATAACGAAAGGAGCTGAATAGACGAGTACACTAGGGTAACTCCCCTACTGTTCTTGAAATGTACTGGTTAACTTTAAAGTGCACACAAGCCAATTGTGTACACTGGACCTACGGTTTAGAGTCTTCACCTGAGAAGATTTGTTCCACCACCAGAACCATGGGCGAACGTGCCATTTGAAACAGCACCGATGTAGGTTGTACCGCCCCTGCCTGAACCATTTGGCCATTCATGTCGTGAGGGGGAGGGGTGGGATTAGCCTGCTTTCAACAACATCTTACTACATTACTATTTATATAAAATATGATCCAGTGTTACCATTAGAGTCTTTCCTTTAAACTGAAGCATAATACATGATCGTCCAACTTCTTGTCCAGCACCCCTGGAAAGAAAGAAATTGATAACAAAATTTTATAGCATTTCATTTTCAGTACAATTTACAATATTATTATTATTATTATTATTAATCCTAAAATATAACCAATGTATTATGCAGTAGTTACGATTCAGCACATCTATTGTCCTACGGATTTCCCGTGCAAATTTGAGCTGGTTTTTGAAGTATAAAATACTGTACAGTATCATGTCTCTAAGTAATAAATTATCCATACTGTAAAGTTTTTAATTGAGTGGATGATGTGCAATTTCTAGCCATAATCTTTGCGCGAAGGATATTCTCTGCACAGGCCTTAATTTATAGTCTGGTCAGTGGTAAATTATTAAACTTTAATTAACCATACAAACAAGGACAGAGATTTAGCTTGCCATGGTAATTCAGGCTTTGTATCTATTGATTTATTCGTTGGCAATAAAGTGAAGATAGATTGTAGGCCTATCTCTTACCTAGTGGAGCCTAGCTAGGCTAGGCCTTCTTTTTATGCCTCTCTAGGCCTAGCCTAGCTAGGCCTAATAGTAGGGTATTGACATTGTCCAAGGAAGAAAGGCACAAAACAAAGGTCCAAACCTAGGGTAGGCCTAGCCTTCCTAGTATTACTATTTCCTGCAATGAAATAAACAAAAATAAACACACAGTTAATAGCTTACAATGGTCGGACAATAAGTTGATCGCTACCTTCCGAACCAGGTACTGGAATTCCATCCTTTTTGTTGGTAGATGCCGACGAAGTTTGAGATGCCGCCATGCTTGTTGACTACCTACAGTATTAAATTTGTTGACATCAGTAAAGCGCCACAAAGATACTCTTTGAGCGCCATCAATCGTCAATTGCGGATGATGGTTGGAATCCGCACTACTATGTTTATCCGCGCTATCTATTCTTTGTCTAAACTAATTCCTCCAAGGTTTAGTAAATACACATTATACTCTTTGTGGGTGGGGGATGTTTATAAAAAAACGTATTCTTGCAAACCTAAAATTTCAGTGTTGAGCTGTAAAAAAAAGTGAACAATGCTTTATATGTACTAATAAAAGCAGTGCTGTAGGGACCCCGGCCAAGTGGACCCATTTCGGACTCATTAACGCGTGTTATTGAGTGTTGTGTATAACCATGGAGGTATTATTACCTCCATGGTATAACCCAGATTTTAAACTAAACCTCGAATTGAAGCCGCCTAGCCTTCTTCTTTTTTTTCCCTACGAACTTTGGATGGGCTTCTTATCGAAATGAGCTACTATTCGAGATGAGCTTCTTTTCGAGAATACTTTTGCAAAGTAAAGAGTGGGGGCTTCTTTCAAAATGAGTGCTGTTTATACATCAATCTGTATTGGAGTGTATTTAACTGGCATTAAATCACCTAAACTAATAAACCAAGCTTGTCTTTAATTTATTTGGTTTTCACGCACTCGAAAAGAAGCCTATGCTATTTTAAAAAAGAAGTCCATGATGGGCTTCTTTTCGAAGCTAATTTTGCAAACTAAAGACGGCTTCAATTCGAGATAAGGTCACTGGGCTTCAATTCGAGGTTTTTATGGATTGGCAACAGGGGAAGGGGAGGCAGGGGAGGAAGAAGGATGAGAAGTTGGGTAACCAGGCACGGATTCACTGAGTCAAGAGATACAATATTTTCAAAGATATTAGATTGCAGCGCGATCGACTTTCGAATTTCACTCTCCCCTTTATTCAGAATGCCACCGGCCTCTTAACCAAAGACAAAAAATATATACAGTATAACAAAATAAATGCAATACATTTTTGTATTGTCTAAATATTAATTAAAGGAACTGTAATTGAATCAGCGGTGTTAATGTGATAACGTACACTTTTGAGTTTTGTATCTTGATTTACCGTATGTCACAAATGTAGGTCATTGAGGATGTGTGCGTGGATCTTATAAACCTTGTTGAAGGCACATATAGGACATAATTTTATTTATTTTGATAATTCAAAACCGCCCCCCATCAGCACCCCATTTCAAGACTCCTAGATACGCCACTGCACTAAAGCAAAAATGTATTATTTTAACTATTATAAATATTAATTTCAATTATTAATTTATTATTTTATCGAATGTTATGGGAAAATAAACAGGTGTTTGTTGGAGTGGCTAGCCTGGTTGTGGACCTAGGGCTTAAAACTCACGAACACACTCGAAGCTCTAATCTGGATAGGCCCTATACATCTAATAAGAAAGTAAAAAATGACCAGCAAGTACTGAGAAACTGCAAATGGATACGGCATCGGAAGAGCAACGAAGGAATACTAAGGAACAGGCACTAATACGAAGTGTTCTTTTGGCTCTCCTCCCGTGTTCATTTCAATGTATTCTTTGATTTATTTTTTTTTTAAATCTGAAAACGTTAATCAGTCCTAAAATTGTTCAAATTCAAACAAATACAGCTCTTGTAAAGCTCAGAAATGCCGGAGCTTTACAAGAAGATGATTGCTATTTGGCAAGTTCCTCTAATACCACTAGGATGTACGAGGTTATTTTGGAGCTAATGTACATTTAGCACAAGGTTTGAGATTTTGTATTGTGTGTTTTTTCTTACTCGTTTTCAATTTATGGCATTTTTTATGTTTTTATTATTCATTTGTTTTATTTTTATATAAACAAATAATTTTTAAAAGTTTCCTATTTAATTTTAATACAAAAAAATTAACAGCCACAGGCTGTTAAATTTGGATAATGTTACGTGGTTCCTTAATTTCAGTGATATGAGACCAAAATTTTTTGGTTTTGGTGTCTACACCCATGTTTTCAATGTCAACGAATTCATCTGTATCACTTAAACTCCATAGGCGATAATTATTGATTGTGTTCATTTCAATCGTGTTTGATTTAATTTTAACAAAAACTGAAAACGTTAATCAGTACCCTCAAATTGTTTAAATTCAACAAATATAGCTCGTGTAAACCTAAACGTTGGAGCTTCCAGGGACTTGAAGAGAGGAAAATGTGTGTCAAATACTAAAAAGAACTTATTAATCACGTGAGTACTGATATGCTAATTAATTTTGTTCCTTTTTTGTGGTGCATGAATGGAAAACAAACTTCATATACAGTACTTTGTATTTGACAATAAATCGAACTGGAATGAATGTTTATTGATATATTTACCGGTAATACAACACCAACACAACACAATATATAATCACCGTGAGCTAGATTAGCGAGCGTACATATCGCGCTGTACAGTACTCTCTCTCGTGGTTGGTGCATTGCATCGCCCATGATTGAGGGCGCAATTCTTGCTTCTGAAATCCTATTTTTGATTGGCTGTTATCAATTGCTAGGAAACCTTTTGAGTTGGTGAAATTTAATCATTATTCATGAATAAAGTTCCAACATGATAAGTGCCAAATCCACATAAATATTAAAGTAATCATTGATACATGTATATGTCTTGAAATCAACCGTAATAACGTAACCTGCTTTATAAAATATTAAAATCGTTTACAACTTGGGCAAGCCTTTTTCTGCTTTTCAACACTTACGATCTGTGAATTGACCAATCACAACGTCTCTTCTATATCATGGAAAGCGAATAAGTATTTACGATGAGGTCTCTTAGCTGGTCCTAAGTGTTAAACAATGATATTTAATGAACAATATTTAAGTATTTTTATATGGTATTGATCCAACTAACTTGGTATGTAATTTGATAATGATTATCTTATTTAAATACATTTTTAAATGTAGTTTAGTACAAGAGGTTTAACATTTATATTGCAAAATTGAGTGCACAGTAAACCTCCCTGTCTATTCGCGGCTTGTTGCGGCTGGCAGCAGCACTCTAGCAAATGGCATCAGTGTTTGTTCCTTCTTTCCGTTATCAAGAAACGACAGTTTAACACTTCCTGGTTTGCCATCGTGGTATTATTTTATACTTTGGAAGAATCTTTGAGCAGCCTGGTATGTATAAGTTCAGTCTTTCTATCAGATAGAAAAGTAGTTTCAGAAAGATTGTCAATTTATTATTTTGGGCGGAGATTGCAGGATATGTTTCTGTTGTGAACGATGACATCAGTCGACGTCTTTCTAGGCCGTGGGCCAGGGCCTTTCCGATCAGTAACAGGATGCTAAACAGGTCTTGGAAGTCCATTCGAGTAGGCCTAAGTGTATCCTCCATTTTAATCATTGGTATAATTGAATGTACTGTAATAACATTTTATATTGTTTTTGATCCATGGCAAATCGAAGAATGTTTGTTGTTGTATTTTATCACCAGCCATGAATGGCATGCAAAATAAAATAAAAAAGGTTTAGGCCTAGGCCCTAGGCCTAAATTTAGAATATATTTTGCAGCTTTGCTATTATAATATTCCAAGCTTGACCCACATTATTTATATTTTTGTTTGTTGCCAACACTGCAACAGGCTAGGCTGAGCCAAAATCCATGTTACTAACATTAACACAGATTTGGCTTCTAGTGCATAGGGCCCCGTTTGAATTAGTTAGAATCATAAAGCATTATGTAAGTTCGATTGCCAAAAACTCACAAAGAATGCTAGAGAATTAGCATTACAGTTAAACTTGCCTAAGTCAACTTCGTCTAACTTAAATAATTTATAAATTGTTGTGTTGCCCATTAATTAACAATCTGTAAGTCAAATATTATCTAAATCAATTTTTCAATGGCATTTTGGATTTGATGTAGGCAAGTTCAACTATACACCATTTTGTACAATCACATCGTTAGTTTATTCATCTTGTTTATTTTGCACACTCGTGTTATTGTTTTGAAACAGTTAACATTTCCTCTTTCTGTTCAGTAGACTTCTAAACAGTTTGTACTAATTATACACCTAGTCAATGTGACACGGTCACCACTAGTTCTGGGTCACTAATTGTGTATTTTGTTTATGCTAGTTGCTACCCGATTTGATAATCTGCCTAAAATAGTAATAGTTAAAGTATGTTAATAGAGAAAAGGTTTGATGAGTAATTTCTCAAAATAATTATATTACAATAGTATAAAGCCCTGATGTTATCATTAGAGTAATGATTTAGCAAATGGATCTACCAAAACCATCATGGGTGAAGAAGAAATTACAAATACAATTTAATTTCTTTTGTCGTAGTATGCGCATTAAAATAAGTATTAATAAAGGGTGCCTTTACTTGTGAGAAAGAAATAAAAAAATCTTTTCACTTTTCAGGGATATTTCCAGGTAGCATGAACATGTATGCATCATAGCCAACTATAATCATCTTTAATGAGAAACATGTCAAGCAGGTGGTGCATTTCTGAAACAATGTATAAGTGTTTTGTCTATGTATTATAAGTATGATGTTTACAATCAGTGTACAACTTTTGCATATTTAGATACAAATACAAATCTACCGGGAACTACTTAAGTGCTTATTTCCCAGGTAATGAATACATCTGACAGACTTATTTGTTGTGAGAATACTCTAAAGGTGATTAATTACCGGTACTGAATGTTCTGCAGCTCAATAGTCTTTGTCCCTGTTCCTTAAATTGAGGATATTTAGTTCAGTTCTTACATGCATGTTTTTGTATTCCGATAAGACAGAAAAGTTATTAATTACTTTGCTCTTGTTCATTGCTATTATATTTCAATTTTATCATTGAATAAATCATTTAATTCAATAACTACTGTTTGTTACCTTAAATTAAAATAAACAATTTTTGATGAATTGAAAACTTATGTCACAATTACACCACACCCACAAAGCTATGCAAAGCCTAGTGGAGAGTTAAGATTCAAACCCTACAATATTTGTTATGGTAAAATATTACTATATTCATTAGAGAGCCAATTGGGGAGGACAAAAAAGTTCCCCCTCCAGTCCGGACAATCCTGGCATCATCACTGATTTCAAAATGCATCGCTCACTGTGCTTGCTTCACCCATAATACTCCTGGTTTATTGCTACATGTAGATGTCACTTATGCTGCGTTCATTAGAACTTATGAAGTCGGTGTTTCCCAGTTCACAACTTGTGAAACGCCTTCATCTCGTTGGTGGACTGGTAAACACAAGTTGTGAACTCGAGCAGAATTCTCTTCCTCGATTTGCACAAGTAGTGTGGAAAATGGCTGATGTAACACAAACTATGCACAACGAGCATGTATTTATTGCAATTTGTTTATTAAAGTTATATTATTTCAGATAAAAAAAGAGTTTTGTATGTATGTTTTATCTGCAACCCAACATATTTATTGAAATTTGTTTAAGTAATATTATTTCAGATTAAAAAAAAAGTTGTTTTGTATGTTTTATTTTCGAACACATCGCAAAAGTGACAGCAGCCATTTAGCGTTTATCAAATGAATGCACTCTTCTCGTGTTCTCACATGTTACAAGTTGTGAACACCGACTTCACAAGTTCTAATGAACGTAGCATTATGCCATGACCGACCCAACCCACCTTCAATTACTGTACATCTTCTAATGAAACATTAAGTATGTTATTATCAAAACAAGATAATAAGTATCTTCAAGTTGTTATCTATTATTGTTTCAATATTTTAAGTAGCAATGTCTAGCCAATTGATTTAATGGCATTGCCAATAGCAGAGTGAGACTATTTCCTTAGCATTTCAAAGTTTCCTGTATGCTATGCTTGAAGTACTTTTTCTACCCGAGTATTTTTTAGAATATTTTTACAATCATTTCCTCATTTTTTCATGGATTTTCAATTCAAAAGATCATGATAAAGTATAAGAAAAATGATTTAGTGTGCAGTCATATAATTTATTCCCCTTCATTCCCCTCCTATACTAAACTCCTCATACTTTTCTTTATTATCACTAATCATAACAAGACGATTACTGTACCAGATTCCTGTGTATTTTGGTTTCACAGTTTAATGATTAAAATTTCCTCAAAAATCCCATCAAACTGATCATAAAAGGAACAAGTAAGCTATCAATTTCCATTGGAACAGAGGTTACAGCAATTTTCGTTTTTGGTATTTTGCAGATAAGGTTTTACTATGAAAATTCTTTATATTCTCTACAGTATTATTACCCAATGACCAATGTTAGGTTGTACAGGTATGTAAGTTGATAAGTATTATGTTTAGCAAGAAATTCAGTGCTGAGGAAAGTATTTTATCAACTAATTCAAACTGATTTATTAATATATTCTTTCTAAACATTATAAAATATTGTACTGTAAACAGTTCAATCATTGAATTTTTTTCTTTTCTTTATTTATTTTTTTAAAGACAGACGAGAAAAGTAATACTTGTCAAGTATAAGGTTTTTCCACACTAACCAATGTAATTTGTTAATGGGTGTGATATGACATGATCATGACCATTGGGCAGACCATGTTTGTAACAGAAAATTAAAAATGTGGACAAACAATGAATTTGAGGAAGATCGTAAATTGAAAAATTGATAAACTAGATCGGGTGTCAGTTTCCAATATCTACAGTAGGCCTAGCTATCACCTGCCATTTAGCGCCGACAGGCTGACGGCGGCCAGGCCTAGCACGATCCGACAGTATAGCAGCATGGTCTATTGCGCATAGAGCCTATCTGAATTTACCAAATTATTTTAATCACTGACATTCTTCCACTTAACAAAATGCTATTTTAACTTTTATTCAAACGTGTATGTTTTATGGACCTTTCTATTGTGTTCTTTTATGTTGTCAGATCGCCGCATTGTATTGTTTACATGCATTTCGCAATCATATCTAGCATTCACGATGTCAATAAGTTGGCGATCCCAACACTCTTGTTTGTCATCGTAAACATGTATGCTCAATCCGACGACACATGCATTGGTAGTTCATTGTTATGGTTAGATTTCTTACATTAATATAGTGATTATTATACCAGAAATGAAAGAAAAGATCAAACTATTAATAAATAAGTACAACAAACTTGATTTTATCAAAGAAAAATAAACATTATCACTTTGTGAAATTAATTGATTGGTGATGATGTCTTCAGGGGCAAAGACTATTTGTAAAATTGACTATTCGTAAAATCAATGTTCATAAAATGGATGTTGTACTATGTTTACTATTTTGTTTTTAAACTCTGTGTGTGGCCTGCCAACCATCTTTGGCTAGAAATAACCTATGGTCCAACACTGATCTGTAAAAGTAATATTAAAATTGAGAATAAAGTGGTATAAAAGCAGTGCATAAAGGTTTTTGCAAGAACACTAGAAATGTCAATGTTGAATTGGTGTGGCCCTTGCTGTTAAATCAAAAATCCACTTTGGCCTATGACCCATATTTATGCCCACCCCTGCCCTACATTGTGTAGTTACTCTACTGCACTGAAGCCAATATTCTATTTTGCTTCACCATTTCATTATTCTCAAAAGTGTTCCATTTTTCCTACAGTAGCGTTCTTTTTTATCTCTGGCATTTTTTTCCCCTGATTTTCTGTCGACAATTCACTTTAGTCATAATATTTTAGTGTTGCATTTTTTCCCAATTTTTTAGTATTCTGTACTAATTGTCCATTTTCTTATTTTCTTATCTGTTGCTTAATTTAACGTGATCACTTTTACTTTACATTCCTTCTTTTTCTGAGCATTTGCTATATTATTTCCTAAAACGTTTTAGCGACTGACTTAAAAAATGTTGTGGGTCAAGAATTTCCTCATGGCACATTATAAAGAAAATACTGAATGAGACCTGAGTAGAGTTAATTGATTATTTCTGAACATTTATCCACATAATTCCATAATAAAACATCCAAAATAAAAAATTAGAGTATGTGACAAATATAAAGTATATAACCACACATTACACCTACCTACACTATCGATCACAAACAATTGGATGTCATTTCTGAGAAGGAGAAAATAAATGAAATTCATTAGTGTTTTACATTACATAGTATGTGTCAGGGATGCATGCAATTATAAAATATGCATTTCTGTTAGTATCCCAGTTGCGTACTTGTTCCAGAAGATGACACGAAAATTTATAATTGTTCAATCTTGGTACCACTTGGTGTGGTTGTAATTAACTGCTGCTAGCGGCAGTTAATTGTGAATGATAAAGTTAAGGTACTGTATACTTAAATGGATTGGATTAGATTTCTTCAGTGTGCTACGAACCAAGGATAATCCACAAAGGCCTAAGACATATTTCCAGTGAGTCCTTCTTGTGGTGAAATGGGCAGTACACCGGGAGACAATCCCCTACGCTTTTCTAAAAAGTGTACAGTACTACGTTCTTTTAACGTGCACATGGGCCATTTTGCATATGGGACCAAGGGCTTACAGCTACAGTTTTCACAGTTCATTAGCATTAACAAGTTAATAAGTTATTGTACTGCAATCTAAATATTCTGTAATTAACCAATTCAAACTTTATTTTTACAGATTTGTAAGACTTACTGCGTATTATCCTGCACATTAATTACAAACAATGCGACAAGCCATACTATTACACAGTGGTAAACTTCACTGAATTCACCAGGCACAGACAAAAAACATGGCTGGGAGACAGAAAGATAAGGAACGTGTCTTTAATATATCAGTTGTTGGCTTGTCTGGTACCGACAAGGAGAAGGGTTCGGTCGGCGTTGGCAAATCATGTTTGTGCAATCGTTTCATTCGGCCGCAAGCAGATGACTACCATAAGGAACATATCTGCGTGATCAGTCAGAGCGATTTTAGTGGACGTGTCGTGAACAACGATCATTTTCTATATTGGGGTGAGAGGAAATTAACTTACGAAGGACAAACGTATTCTTTTCGGATTATCGAACAGACAGAGTTCATCGATGATTCCTCATTCCAACCATTTCGTGGGAACAATACTGGGAATTACTTGAAACGCTGTGTCAGCGTCAAGTTTGGTTCTCAGGATAAGCTCATGTACTCGTGTAAAGATCAGTTGGGTAAGTTGGTAGTGAAAGTTAGGGGGGTTTTTTTGCTCATATTTATTTTTTATCCTCATCAGTAACCTTAATGCTCATGTCACATTTTTGTTACAGTATGTTTGTGCATTGTGGGATGATTGTTGTGGATTGGAGATATGTGAACAATGTGCAGTAATACTGTATTTATTCAAATAAACGGCCCGCTTTGAATAACCGCTCGCCTTTAATAAACGTCCCATCTAGAGGCTTCATTTAGAAGAAACGCCTCCCTTTAATGAACCCCTCGAGGTATTTCTTTTTTCCTTGAATAAACGCCCCTCCCCCAAATGGTCACACATTGACACATTTGGACAGTAATTATGTATTGTAGTTTCACATTTACAGTAAAATTAAGGGGCGTTTATTTGAGTACACGTACCCAGTTTACATCCAAAAAAAATTAACGCCTCCCTAGAATATACACCCTACTCAAAAACCCTTTTCAACAATGGAATAGTTCGGTGTGCGTTTTGATAAAATAAGATAACTTTATTGTTCCACAAGGGAAATTCTTCTGCTCGTCATCAAATATATTAAAAAATGTAAAACAAATATAAAAACATACAAAACAGTCACTATAGAAAATATAACAATTTACAAGTAAAATACAATGACTACCATTAATAAAATAATTGAATTACAATTATGATTATTTTTATTATTCTTATTATTATTATGATTATTATTACTATTATTATTATTATTATCATTATCATTATCGTAATTAATACAGTTAAAATTATTATTGATATATTGAAGGCCTACATTGATGTGTGGTACAAGGAGGGGTAAGGGATAATTTTCCTGTGGACTAATAATCTTGAGTATGGGATTCTGTCATTAGAAATTGCTACATCTCATTGAACTAAAAAGTTTTAATAAATAATAAATACTTTTATTCAACACAGCCTTAAAATCATTCCCCAAGAGATTTTATCTTCATCGAGGCCATGGAAGGCCATGAATGATAACTAAATCAATTAAGACAATCTAAAGTTATATTAACATAAAATAGAAATAGAACAATTTATGTTAATATTATAATTGGCCAATAACTTATATTAATAATCATAGTAAGTCATAAATATTAGAAACAAAATATAAAAATTTAATCAAGGTTAATGCAATTCAAAATACAAATTAAAAGGTAAAGAATGCAGTCAAATAGATGTTGTTTACAGTACAGTCAGGAAATATCGCTTCGTATCTGCGCGTAACCACTCGTAGCCTGCTCGTAGGTACCGTTTGGAACGTAGCTACGAACCACTACGAAGGTCATTGTTATTTTAATTAGCTTTACAATGATCGTAGGCTGGATCGTCGGGCTGATAATCAATGCATAAACAATATTGAAATATAGTTTACCAGCTTTCAACGCGTAAGCAATGTTGCAATTTACTAAATAAACAATGTTAGAACTTTATTGTTTTGTTATATCCTACCTTATTATTAAATCGATCATGTTTTAAAACTGTGTTTAGTTCGCTAGCTGGGTGGGTAACCTAGTGGGCATTCAGTATGTTCGAATTTCGATGTCATTTAGGCTTACGTACGGCCTACATTTTCCCCTATAGAGGAGGAGAGCAGGCAGTAGTTATACTGGTAAACTTTCCAATTCGGAGAATTTTGATCTGATATTATTCTTCTGGTAGTATGAATTTTCTTCTTTTAAATAATACTGATGACAAATCATGTACAAATTATTATGATTTCTACAGATCACGTTGTTTATTGTTTACCGTAATTTGAAGCAGAACAACCTGCAAAGCGATGCAATACTAAATGGAAGTATAGAAATCACTACCTTGCCGAATTAAGGCTAGTCATGCTAGACCGCATTTACTCCGTTTTTACTCACTGTTGCTCACAGCTTTTCAACATTTACCACGAGGTTAACCTTTAACACACTTTACTGTGTTCTGATTGGCGCGCACTCTGACGTCTAATGCTGGCTAAGTTTTATTTTCCATTGTGTTTTCCATGTGACATTTGGTAATATTACAACCAACGGACGTTAATTCTCCTTTATATTTATTATTTATCTTACTAAATCAAGACTACAAAATATCATTTGATGAACAATCTTTTCACATGTGTGTATTGCCATTGAGGACATCGTTTTTTGACATTTCAAATGAGGTAAAATAATTGTAAATGAAAAATAAGCTAGGCCTAGGCTAATTAATAAAAAAAAATAATACAACAGTACAAACAAGTTCCTGTCGTGGACAGCGAGTGGAAGAGGAGACTCCCATGAAGTCAAGTGTACGTTTTTCTTATTGAAAAACAGTTCCATACTTTAAATTAACGGTCAAAACTCGTGTTTGCCATTCACAAATTATCAAACAAAACATTGTTTATTCCAGTGAGCTGCAGCAGTCTTTCTGCACATACAAATAAACAACATGCTTTTGCTTCGTAGGTTCGCTTCGCGTAGCCTTGCTTAGATTGTTTATATCAGGCTTCGAAGTCTGCGCGCAGGTTAGATTGTTTATATCAGGCTACGAAGCCTGCACGCAGGTTAGATTGTTTATATCAGGCTACGAAGCCTGCACGCAGGTTAGATTGTTTATATCAGGCTACGAAGCCTGCACGCAGGTTAGATTGTTTATATCAGGCTACGAAGCCTGCACGCTTACAAAACATAAAGGTAATACATTTGCCTCTTAAACTTTCGACAGTCATTTCTAATACTTCCTATTGAAACTATGCATATACAGTAATTTAAATGTCACTGAACTTTTTACAACAAAGCAAATGGTAAATTGATTGGCTTGTATACACTACTTAAGTACAGGTCTTGTGTTCTTTTCTTTTGTCAGAACAAAACCAAACTATAGATTTATCATTTTTGTCTGGTTAGGTTTATGTACTGTAGTACAACATTTTATTTTTTTTTTTTTGCACCATCTTGTTACTCATTGTGCAATACAGTAGTACAGTGCCTACCTACATTACATGAAAAGTTTGCATGACAATCTTATCTGGTAATAGTTGGCATACAATATTATACAATGTACTGACATAATAATCACATATTTTTTCAAGACTTAGTAAATTTTCTTATGTTTATTCTTATTTTATTATGACTTAATGTATTTGTCTTGATACAAATCTCATTTTTGGGGATTTAATAATCAATCATTAAGAAACCGTCTTGTTTATTACGTTTATAATTTTTTAAAATTTGATTCCATAAAATCTTGCCACAGAGATTTTACAAGCTAAACATGGTTCTTGTTAGTCCAAAAAATGTCTGAACATTTTTGTTGCCATACATTGAGCTACTATACCGTACCCTACTGCATATAGTGTACATTAGCAATGCATCAAGCTATTCTACCATAGCCACACCTAAAGCTACTCTACCCACAAACTAACTAAAGTACAACATTAAAACACAGTTATTCAGTGTATTATGTGTGGCTCAAGTGAATATTGATATCTGAATCCCTGATAGAACTTTCTGTTAGATTGTATCAGTGCAGAGAACATACATGGTGACATTTTCAGTCATTTGTCAATTCCCAAGACGGCAATAATATTCTGAGTAATGACCGCGATTAGCGTAGTAGATTGCGGCAGAATGCATTACACAGTGTATGTTTTTTTAATCGTAGACACTAGCACCGTGCATGGTGAAAATGCAGTAATTGTAGTGAAAATGCTGTTTTGTCCTGCCGAAGCATGTTTCATTTCTCTTAAAATTACATTATCTTAGTTTGTCACGATTCCAACCATTTATTGACCATAACATTTACACAATTTACAAAGTGATTGCGTGTTGATTGTATTAAAATTATGACAATATTACTGTATAGTCTCTTGTGTTGTTCCAAATTATATTGTTCAGGGTTTAAAGTTGGTTAGGCAATTTACGAAATCTCCACTTAAAAAAAAAATACTTTGGTTACCATAGTTACCGGGTAGCACAGACACGAAGGGACCCTTAGGGGCGAAGAAAGTCATTGATCGAGTTCCTAGTCCACATATCAAGCGCCCTGAGCATCTTACGTTTGATGGATATGTGCTCTATATAAAACTACATTATTATTATTATTATTAAAATTTGATTGCTTATTGAATCAATTTAGTTTCTGTTTATTTAATGTGAATATGCTTAAGTTGATTACTTTGCCAGTCAAATGATAAAGCAAGAACATAATAGTAAAATATATACTGTACAATACAGTAGGTAAAATGTTACACAAAGTAAATTAAAAATTGCACATGACAAAAATACTGTACAGTACTGTATACTCTGTAATGGAGATAAAAAAAACAAGAAGCCCAATAAAAGGTAATTTGTCAAAGTTTTACCACTTATTTTTGTTTTTCTTCAGGTGATGAAGACAATTATCCAAAATCAACATTTACTAATGGAAAAATTACTATAGATGGATTTTTAATTGTATATGACTCTAGTCGAGTACGAGGACGTGATGCTGAAAAACAAATAGATTTTTTAACTAGTCTATATAACCTGCTAAAAAAGACCAATAAAGCATTTGTGATTGCTGTCACCAAATGTGACGAAGCACATGAGTACAATATGTCTGAAATTGACAGGTTCAGTCAGAGACACAAAATACAGCTTATCGAGACATCCGCCAATGAGGCCGTGAATGTAGACTTGGCGTTTGTGACACTCGTTCAAATGATCGACAAATCAAGAGGAACCGGGAAACGAGTTGTATATCATGAAGCCAATAAACAGCGTAAACTTACCATTGATAAAGTGACGGAGTCATTTAGTGCAATCCTAAGAGACAATATTACGAACTACCACCTAAAATGGAATACGATGAAACGCTTTGAACACGATCAAGCTTATGAGGAGTATATTTATCACCTTGGTACCAAAGAAGCACGAAAGCTGTTTGAGAGGCACATAAAAACATTGAAAACTAACCATCAACGTCGCATGTTATTACAATATGTGACAACGTTACCAAGTGTGTTTGATGATATCCTACCGGACCTCGTCACCATTGGCCAAAGGTAATATTTTCTATGAAGTTTGATCTTCAACATCATTAGTTTTTCTAGAATAATGTTTATATAACATATACAGGTACTGCTGTTCTCAACAGCATGTCATGTGTACCGGTCAGTACACTCTGGGGTACCACACCCTGATGTTGAGTGTCAGACGGGGCCGACCGGTGCCGCCCAGCGTGGTGAAAACCTTGGTATAAGCCTATAGCTATGTTCCAACGATCACTAATCCAGTGCAAGTTAATAAGAAATCCCTGTCAAGGTTGCATCAAATTCTATCGTGTGTCTACAAGAGTTACATGGATAATTATTGTGCTTATACCCTGTTGAAGATTAATTGATTTCTATTGATCTCATGATGATGTTTCAATAAAACGAAGACAACAAAACATGAATTACATTACAGTAGGTCTAGGCTGGGCACGCCCCTCTAAAATTACTCGCTCCCCCAGTTGCCCCTCCTAGTTTCTCTCTTCCTCTCCCCCCCCCCCCAAAAAAAAATATTGTGGTCAAGTAGTTAGAAATCATGTAAAATCACCATATTTTGTGATTTAGCACC